ACTCTGTGGCAGTGAGTATGTATACAAATCAGTGGCACTGATTGTCCTTACCAAGTGGCACAACCATCACCAATATCTGTCTCCGACATCTTTCTTCACCTTTCCGTCCCTCAGTAGCCCCTCAGCCCCAAGAGTCCTTCATTCCCTACCCGCCCCCCGCTTGCCCTCATCATCCCTGGTAGCCCATGATGCACTCCCTGTCTCTGTACGTGATGCACTCCCTGTCTCTGTACGTGCACCTGTTTATGAGATGCCAGACAGGTGGGCCAGACTGCACCTGGCCCTCTGACTGACTGCCGCCCCACAGTCAGCAGCACGTTTCCCGAGCTTGAGACCCAGCTTAACTTCTCACTGGTCCAAGGCAAGGCTCTGCCACGCTCAACTCTGTCTTTTCAAAACTCCCACGACTTTGTCCGTGAACAAAGGGGCTGAGGGGCTGGAGAGCAGGGCGCCAAGCCTGGTGTTCAGCCAACGTTTCTCAAATGACTTCTGTTCGTGTTCAGCGGTCAACCTGGGTAACCCGGATCCTCCACTCAGGTGGCCTCGGAATGCGTTAGCTCTCTACGGGCAGTGCTAACCCACCACACGGAGCGGGTCAGGGTTGGCTTCTGCTACCCAAAGGCTGCAGATTGGGAGGGGGATGCGGGGTGGGGGGGAGGGGATGCGTGCAGCTCGTTGGGCAGAAGGAAGTGTTCTCTGCCGCTCTCTTGCGTTGACCTGACTCTTGGGCTCTGTCTCTGTTTAGAGGCAATCTCGGAGGCCAGCGACAAGAAGGAGGCCATGGAAAACATGCCGGAGACGCTCGAGTATGGCATGATAAATACCAACATTCTGCATCTTCTCAGGGATGTCATGGGCCAGGTAAATGTGGGCCAAGGGAGAATGCAGCCTGTGAAAGATGGCGGAGGGCCACAGGACCCATGCACCCCACAGCAGCCCTGCCCATGCCAGGCGGCAGCATGAACACTGAGGGTCTAGTAGAAAGCAGGGCCGAGGCACTCCTGCACTCCCAGAGCGCATGTTAGCGGGAGACTGCAGGAAACAAATCCAGACAGGAAAACGGCATCCCTGCAAGTGTACTCTCGGGGCAAACCACGGGTGGGAGATTGGACTCCACCCCGAGGCATGTTCGAAGAAAGACCTGGTGACCTATCCCCTGAACGTCCCCCTCTGAGCACCCTATGGAAGCACATCCTGCCCTGGCCCACGGGGCATTGCCCGGAGTTGGAATGGACTCAAGCAAACCAACTCAAACTCCCCTTCCAGAGAGCCGGTTCTGACTGGTAGAAGGCAAGCATTCTTATTTGGTTTGGGTGGTAGTGGAGGGCTGTTGTGCTGGGCTGGGCTCCCTGGAGAAACAAATCCAGTGGCACTCATACGTATCAGAAAGAGCTTTACATCGAGAAGTAATCTTAGAGCAAGAAGGCATCCAGCCCCGTCCAACTGAAGTCCCTAAGTTCCATGCCAGTCCCCATGTCTCTCTTAGGACACATCGCTGCGGGTTGGTGACGCTGAAAAGTGAAGCAGGAAGATGGGAGGCCGTGGGGGGTAGAACCTGACGGATCTAAGTCTGGTGGAAACATGACAGGGTGCCAAAGCCCCCATGGGCTCACTCCTGGAGGGAAGCAGGGTCCCAGCAAGCAGGAAGGTGAAGGAGCAGAGAGAAGGGGTTACAGCTTCTTCCTATCAGAAGGCTCTGCCCCAAGGGAGGCATCATCGGCCTGTGACCTGACTGACGGGTTGGATTGCAAACATGGAACTGCCACAGGGTCCTCAACTAGATTCCAGACAGGCGGTGTCCCCAGGACTTTCCTTTTCCCGTTCATAACATGGGTGTTGCCGAGCTCAGGCTAACTCACTTACTGGCAACGCTGTCTTTAACTTCTCAACTGCCGACGAGTCAACACTGGTGGCCACGCTTCCTGGGTCAAACCCACTGCCAGCAAGTTGATTCTGACTTGGAAAAGAAAATCCCAGACCAAACCCATTGCCATTGAGTTGATTCGGACGCATATGATCCTAAGTAAGAAGTCCAGACACCAAGTCTTTTTTTTTTTTTTTTGATGGAATTTCTTTCGTTCTTTTTCTTTTTTTTAAATGTCATTTTATCGGAGGCTCTTACAGCTCTTATAACAACGCACACATCAATTGTATCACACACATTTATACATATGTTGCCATCATTTGCAAAACAGTTTCTCTTTTTTCCCTATAAATAGTTCAAGGTCTGTTTGTTGGCCTTTGCAAGTGTTTTCCAGTGAGTGTGATGGGGTGCCACACTCTGTCTCCAAAGTCTAGTATTGGTATTCCCCGGGGATTTCATCCCTTTGCTCCCCTTGCTGCTCTGTTGCATGCCCCTAGTGTTTCTCCCCAGTGTGATGGTGTCAGATTGGGCACAGTTCCCGCACTGTGTCTCCAGTGTTGTCACCCGTAGGCTATGGTTCGGTGAGGGACATCATGTCTCGTGGTGGGGCCAGCCCTATGGTCCTCTCTGTGCATTGTCTGCTCTGAATAGGAATATGATCCTCAGGACTTGATGGGCCAACACTTTCTTTCTACTTGAGCCCTTGGTATCAGCTCCTCTCTTTTTCCCCCATCCCTTCCCCTCCCACCCTCATGACCCCTTGATGAATTATAAACGATTATTATTTTCATATCTTATACCGTCTCCTGTTTCCCTTCACCCACATTTCTATTGTTCGTCCTCCTTGGGGGCAGTTATACGTCGATCATTGCGATCGGTTCCCCCTTTCTCCCTCTTTCCCCCCCCACCTTTCCCCTACCTTTATGGTATTGCTATTCCCATGATTGTTCCTGAGGGGTTATCTGTACTGGATTCCGTGTGGTGAGAGCTCTAACCTATACCAGTGTACATGCTCCTGATTTGTAAGGTAGAACTGAGCTTATGATAGTGTGTGTGTATGTGGAGGGGGAGGCATTAAAGAAGTAGAGGAATGTTGTATGATTTGTCTGTGCTATACTGCACCCTGGCTGACTTGCCCCTTCCTTGGGACCATTCTGTGAGGATGCCCAATTGTCTACAGACGGGTTTGGGTCTCCACTCCGACTCCCAATGTTCGCATTGATATGATTGTTTTGGGTCTTTTGATGCCTGACACCTGGAACCATTGACACCTCGTGATCACACAGGCTGGTGTGCTTTTTCCATGTGGGGTTTGTTGCTTCTCTCCTAGATGGTTGCTTGTTTAACTTCAAGCCATTAATAGCCAGATGCTTTATCTTCTAATAGATGGGCACCATCAGCTTTCTTCACCACATTTGCTTATGCACCCATTTTAACTTTAGCAATCATGTTGGGAAGGTGAGCATCACAGATTGCCAGGTTATTAGAACAAAGTGTTCTTGCATTGAGGGAGGGCTTGAGTAAAGACCAATGTCTATCTGCTACCCTGATACTTAACATATAAATATATGTACATAGACCTATATCCCGCTCATTATATATTAACATATTTACATACACGCATGCCTATATTTATACTTCTATGAATAGCTTTTGCCTCTTAGTTCTTTCCTCTGTTTCCTTTTCCTTTCCTCCCGTCCCACGATCATGTTCGACCTTCATTTGGCTCTTAGTAATTTCTCTCGGCTACACTGCACTTTATCAAACCCCACCAAGTGTTCTTCACCCTCCTTGCCTATGATTTTAGATCATGTGTTGTTCCCTTGCCCCTGGGATTTTGAGCAACTGTAAGTCTTTAAGGGAGCAGACAGCCTTAGCTTTCCCCCTGGCAACTGCTGGAAGGCTTGAATTGGTGACCTTGTGATTACCCCACAGCTGTTGTCTGAAAACCCACTGCCATCGAGTCCGTTCTGACTCATAGCAACCCCATAACTCAATTTAACTCACCGTCGTTGAGCCAACTGTGGCTTACGGCGATCCTACAGGACAGGGTAGGACTTCCCCTGTAGGTTTTCCAGACTAACTTTGGACAGGAGAAGAAAGCCTCATCCTGCTCTCACAGAGCGGCTGATGGTTTACGAGCTGCCAGCCTTGCGGTCAGCAGTCCACTGAGTAACCACTACACCACCACGGCTCCTCGCAGCAACCCCATGGTGCGGTGGGAAACTGCTCTCGAGAGTTTCCCACCTGGAGCCCTGGCGGATGAAGACCAGAGGCCAGTGCCTTCTGTGTGGATGACACCTCGATGCTCAGGAAACCAATCCCTTCACAACTGGACCAACAGATGACCTCATCGAAAACCAAGGAGAGATGAAAGCTTTCGTGGACTGCGTTTTACTTGCATCCACAGTCAACCTTCATGGAAGTGGCAGCCAAGAAATCCAGTGGGCAAGTGTGCTGCACAAAATCTACTTCAGGTGTTCAGCCTGCATGAAGACGTTACTTGAGACTCAAAGCCGTGGGGTTTTCAGACTCACCTGTGCATGCGGAAGTTGGACACCGGGAGAGAAAGACCTTTGAAGAATTCATGCATTCCAGTTATGTGGGCAAAGACTACTGAGCGTACCAAATCTGTCTTAGATGAACTACAGCCAGAAGGCTCCTTAGAAGCCAGGATTATTTTTTTTTTGCGGGGGGCGGGGGGGTTCACATACTTTGGACATATTTTCTAGAGGAACTCAGGGAAAGGACATCATGTTCCGTAAAGTAGAGGGTCAGCGAAAAAGATCAAGACTCACCTGTCCTTCCACTCACCCCTCCCAGGGTGGCGTGTAGAAAGCCAGAGGCAGTTGAGGACAGGGGTTGTTGGGAATGATGTTGTGCGATACACTTGGCCTTCCAGGTTTTCTTGCCGGCCTTGTCCTTCAATCAGCACAAGATGGATACAAGCGTGGGGTTGGCAGATGGCCCGGACATTTCTGAGAATGACATGGGCGTGGACCTGCCCAGCATGTCTGGGGAGCCGGTGGAGTATCACAGCGTCCAGCTAATTAGGGATGAGTTTCTGATGAACATTCAGAAATTTATAAATAATATCCAAAGGACCATGCAGCAACTTGAAGGTAAGGGCCCTCCCTCTTCTCCTTAAGGAGCCCAAACCAAACCTGCTCCTGTGGAGTCCATTCTGCAGGACACTGTAGAACCACACCGTAGGGTTTCCGGGGTTCTACGTCTTTACCGAAGCAGACTGCCTCATCGCTCCCCGGTGGAGCGGCTGGGGGGTTCGGACCGAGTCACAAGGAAGGGTGTGGGATTTAAGAAGGCAGCTTAAGACCTCATGAGCCTTTTGTTGTACTTTGTGACAACTCTTGCCCACACACCCAGCATGGCTTTGACTCTCCTAGGCGAGATCAAGTTGGAAATGCCCAGCATCAGTCTGGAGGGAGATGTGACTGAACTGGCCGCTGACCATGAAATTGTGGATGTCTTGGAGCAATGTGTGATCAATTGGCTGAATCAGATCTCCTCGGCCGTGGAGGAGCAGCTGAGGAAGTCGCCTCAGGTTAGTTAGCTTTCTAAGACCCCCGAGAAAGAGCCCGGCGTCTAGAAAGCAGCAGGGTCGCTACTATATGACCTCCTTGGAACTTCAGAGGAAACATACCCTAAGGTGCCATCTTTGGGCTTTCTGGGGCTAGTAGGTGACCCGATTTGTGCCTGAGTTAAGAAAGGTAATGGGGTGAATCAGCCAGGATGCTTGGGCTACGAAACCCCAGAAATGGGCACTGAGCCCTGGAGCTCGGCTGACTTCAGGTAGAGTTTGATCAGGCTGCTGGCCGGGCTTTTCTGTCACTCTCTCAGACCCTTCCCCTCCCGGGTGGGGCTGTGCAGGTGGAGGTGGGGAGTGGAGTGAGGGGGTGGGCAGGTGTGTGTCTTGGCCTTGGGCAGCTCTCTGGCACAGTGTGCAGAGGCAGAGTGGGTGCCTGTGTTGCTCATGCCCAGGCAGAGCCCTGCGAGTCGCTGGGCAGGGGACGCAGCGCAAAGGCTGTGCTCTGGCCCTCATCCAGAGCAATTTGGAAGCGAGGCGTGGATGCCCTGCCTGCAGGGATGGCAGTTGTCTGTGCCCTTGACATCCCCCCAGGGTAACGGCCCCTTGGCCGAAATTGACTTCTGGAGGGAGAGGAACGCCACTCTCAGCGCACTCTACGAGCAAACGAAGCTCCCTGTGGTCAAGAAGGTCTTGGATGTGATCAAGGAGTCTGAATCCCTGCTGGTGGCCAACCTGCCACCGGTCCTGACGGAGATGTTCAAGTTCCACATGGAGGCCGCGGACAACGTGCGCTTCCTCTCCACCGTGGAGCGCCACTTCAAGGTACGCCCTCCCTGCGGATCCCCGCACCCCCAGGCCGGCCTGGGGAAGCCCTGCAAGAGCCCTCCGTACACACAGAGACATACGTAGTCTCTATATGGATAGGTATTCTCTACGTGCGCATGTGCGTGTATGTGTGTGCATACATGTACGTACTTCATATACATGGTAGGTACACATTGAGCAAAAACCCACCCGCTTCTTTCCAGCGGACTTTGGGAGCAAGACAGAGTAGAGCGCCCATCCTCTTTCCATACTTAGCCCAGCCACCTGCCACATCTTTCTCCCCTGGATTCAAACTGCTGACCTTTCTTGAATAGCAGCCTAATACTTGACCCACTCCACACGCAAGGCTCCCATCTCAACATTCATTTCCACCCCCACAAAGTCCCCCCATACAGACTGTGTCAGACAGGGTTCTCTAGAGAAACAAAACCAGAACACTAATAATTATATATATGTATGTATATATATGTTTATATTTATATAGGTAGATATACAACATAAGAAATAAACAGCTAATTAAATTATAAAGCAGTACAAATGGCTCAGTGCAACTCATTCCTGTGAGATAGTTGTGAGACACTGGCAGTCCTTCAAGTCTTGAGGGCCACCAGGTAGTCCTCTGTAGAGCAATTCAGGCTATCCGGGCACAGGCAGCAAACAGCAAGGCAGGTCCCCAACAGTCAGCCAGGGTCTGACAGTCCCCAGCTGAAGAGATGTAAATTCCAATAGTGTGGTGAAACACGTCTTGAAGGAGCCTCAAATTACAGCGACACAATCCATGGGTTAGATGTCCCACAGGTAGTGTAGCTTGCAAATTGAGGCACAGAACAAGCAAGGCAGCCACACACTGGTCTGATGATCAAAGAGCAAGAGACAAAAAGGCGAGGGAGGCTCGCCAAGCCATTTCTCTCTCCCCCCTTCAATTAATCCCACATGTGTTCATTGGCCGGCTTGGCACAATAAACGTTCACTATCTCACAGATTCTCTCGATGTGTGTGCAGCATTGTGGGTTAAGCATTGGGCTGTGAGTCACAAGTTCAGTGGCTCAAACTCACCAGAAACTCTGTATCAGGTCGCTATGATTTAGAATGGACTCAGTGGCAATAGGTTCCTTGTGGTTCCTTCGGTGGTTTTGTGTACACAGTGATACACCCCATCGATATATTTATGAATATGTGTATATAGACATATAGTCTCTATATGTGTATAGTACACCCTTTCTCTACATACACGCAAACATACCCAACCTATTGTCTATATAGGCATATTTCCCAAAGTGGGCACTAGGGCTCCCTGGGGGCAGTGCTGGAACAATTCCGACAAGGGGGTGGGGGGCTGTGAAAGCGGAGACCTACACTTTACCCTGGATTAATTGCCAGGGGGCACTGAGTAATTGTTCTTCGGAAAAGGGCGTGGCAGGTCACATCCGTTTGGGATCCTTGGCTGCGTAGGTCCTAGGCTGTCAGTTCTCTGCGAGCAGCCAGCCTTGTCTTCCTCCTGTGGAGCAGTGGGTGGTTTTCAGCCACGGGGAGTTCAGTCAGCAGCCAACACTTCGCTTTGCGTCTGCTCCTTCAGACGGCTTTGTTTGCTTTCACTGTGAACCTCGTCCACCACAGGGGCCAATGCCACCCTGCTCCTGTGGTGGAGACCCTTGCCCCTAGAGGGAACCCCCTCCCAAGTGCCCGCCTTCTCGGTTAGAACCTCACCCACGGCTCCGGCTTCCAAGTGGTCCTGGAGACGACCCCGTCGATGATGAGCGCCCTGCGCATGGTGTGGATCATCTCAAGGCACTACAACAGAGACGAGCGGATGGTCCCGCTCATGGAGCGCATCGCCTGGGAGATCGCCGAGCGCGTCTGCCGAGTCATCAACCTGCGCACCCTGTTCAAGTGAGCACAGCCAGGGCGGGGTGGGCCCTGAGTCACACAGCCCGCGAGTCATCCATGAAACCATAACGTGAATGACGGGGAGTGCGCAGTGGAGGCCCAAAGCCAGTCTGTAGGCAGTTGGACGTCCCCTTACGGAAGGGTCCTGGGGAGAAGACAGGCCAGTCAGGGTGCAGCGTAGCACTGATGAAACATACACCTTTCCTCTGCTTCTTTAATGCTTCCTCCCTCCCCACTATCATGACCCTAATTCTACCTTACAAATCCGGCTAGACAAGAGCATGTACGTGGGTCCAGATAAGAGCTGGAAACACAGGGAATCCATCCTCGGGACCAATATTGAGTAGCCATACCAAGAGGGGAAGGGGAAGGTGGGGGGAGAAGGGGGGAACTGATCACAATGACCTACCTATAACCCCTCCCAGGGGGATGGACAACAGACAAGGGGTTAAAGGGAGACATCGGACAGTGCAAGACATGAAAAAATAATAATTTATAAATTATCCAGGGTTCATGAGGGAGAGGGGGAAATGAACTGATACTAAGGGCTCAAGTAGAAAGAAAATGCTTTGAAAACAATGATGGCAACATACGTACAAATGTGCTTGAGACAATGGATGGATGGTGATAAAAGTTGACGAGCCCCCAATAAAATGATTTTTTAAAAAAAGTTATCTGACCAGTGGTTCTCAGCAGTTACTGACTTGTGCATCCACTTCCACAGTCAACTTGAGAACATTCTCCTCCCCCCAGAGAGCCACGGTTGGCAGTCGCCACTCCAGCCTCCACCCCTAAACCTAAAGCCCACTGCCCTCCAGTGGGTCATGATTCATGTCCACTCTGTAACCAAAAAACGGCCATGGAGTTGATTCCGACTTAGGGAGGCCCTATGGGACCGGGTAGAACTGCCCTATGGGCTTCTGAAACGATAACTTTTCAGGAGTGGAAAGCCTCATTTTTCTCCCGCAGAGCGGCTGGTGGTTTCAAACTACTGACCTTGTGGTTGGCAGCCCATGCTTATCCCACAGCATCCCCAGGACTCCTTCACCCTCTCCTATTGGTGTCATTAGGTGCGGATGAGTCCGTTCCACCTCCGCAGCAGAAGGAAGCCCTGTCCAGCCCCGAGCCTGCCTCACAATGGCTGTCACTTGGGATTACATTGTGTCGTGCTCAAACTCTGACTCGTAGAAACGCCAAACCCTAGGCAACCAATTAATCTTTGCTCTGTCCTGTGCATTCGCCTGTGTGCGAGAGTTCATCTGTGTGAGAAAGATGAGACTTCTCCTCCCGTCAAGCGTGGCAGTCTTGGAGACCCACAGGGGCAGTTCTGCCCTGTCCTGTAGGGTCGCTGTGAGTCAAATGGGCTCAGTGACAGTGAGACGGCTCATCTCAGTGGGGCCACACGTGGGTGTCTTCTGTGCCTGGTTTCTCACGTGTTAGGGTTCATCCCCAAGGTAGCTCATGACAGCATTTCATTCTTTTCTAAGTATTTTATTGGGGGCTCTTATAACATTCCATATACTGATTGTATCTAGCATATTTTTACATATGTTGCCATCATCATTTCCAAAACATTTTCTTTCTACTTGAGCCCTTAGTATAAGCCCTTTTCCCCTCCCTCCCCAACCCTCCCATCCTCGTGAACTCTTGATCAATGATATGTTGTTATTATTTCTTATCTTTTTTACACTGTCCATTGTCTCCCTTTACCCACATGTCTGTTATTCGTCCCCTTTGGGAGGGGGGGGCTATATCCAACCTTGTGGTGGGTTCCCCCTTTTCCCCTTCCCCCTCGCCGGCCATCCCCCTACCCTCATGACATCGCTACTCCCACTACTGTTCCTGAGGGTTTTATCTGTCCTGAATTCTGTGTGTCCAGAGCTCGTATCTGTACCAATGTGTGTTCTCCAGTCTAGCCAGATTTGGGATGTAGAACTGAGTCATGGCAGTGGGAGGAGTATGCATTCAGGAACAGAGCTTCATTCTTTCATACCACCGACTATGACTCTACTGTGCATGTATAGGCTATTCATTTTAACTAAGGCCCTCTTCCTGAATTAGCTTAGGGGAGCCTGAGGAATACCAGTCCTGAACTCTGGGCACCTTTTCAGAACAGCCTCGAATGACTGAACCCCAGGTACTTGGTAAACGAACAGCCCGTCTAGATGAAATGGATGTCCACATCCTGGCATCGTGGTCACGTTGCACCTGGGCTGCACTCACCGCCATGGGACCCCTTGAAGCTCAAGCAGAAAGGTTTATGGAAGATCACCCTCTGCAGGCGGCAGGCAGGCAGAGGTGGGCTGGGCCCGCTGGGCCCTTGGCTTGGCGCTGCCACGGGCACTCTCTATTCTCAGAGAAAACCGAGCCGCGGCACAACATAAAACCCTGGAGGCTAAAAACACCCTGACTCTGTGGAAAAAGTCCTATTTTGATGTGCGTGCCAAGATCGAGGCTTCGGGGAGAGAAGCCAGATGGGAGTTTGACCGGAAGCGGCTGTTTGAGAGAACAGATTACATGGCCACCATCTGCCAGGACCTCTATGATATTCTGCAGGTGGGGTCTGGGGCATGGGGTGCTCCTCTGGGATGTAGTGAAGCAGCGGCTCAGTTGGGGGTGGGGGGGGCTCCCTTTTGAGGAGATGCTGGGGCAGGGGCTGGTGGACGGTGTGGCTTTTCGACTATCACGAGGGCCAGGAGCTGGGCTCACATTCTCAGAGCCTCTCACAGCAGCCACACGCACCCTGCGTCCCTCTGTGAGAGAGATGGTCAAGGCATTTGGTGGCTAACTGCAAGGTTAGCAGTTCAATCCATCCAGGTGACAGGGCCTATCAGTTTACTGTCATATACTGCACATGCCTGGAGCACAGCTGCACTCTGACACACATGGGTCGCCCTGACAACAAGGGCCGCCTGAGAAGGCAGGAGTCAACTAGGTGCTCAGAACTGCAATTGCAAAGACCCCCAGGCAGCAGGAAACCTGGACCGGCAAAAACCAGCAGGGGGGCGGTTGGGAGAGTAGACAGGCCCCGGTGTGCAGACCTTGTGGGCTGTTCCCAGCTGCCCGAGTGTCACCATGCACTGACAAGGCTCTTTGGGCTGGTTGGAGGCCCCAAGACAGGACTCTTGCCTACAAGGAGACCCAGACAAAACCCTCCCCAGACAGAGCCGCCCCTGGGACACTGGAAGGTAACCCCCACCTTGTGCTGTGCTTGGTTGCTCAGGTAATAGAGGAATTTTACAACATTTTCGGTCCAGAGCTGAAGGCTGTGACCGGGGATCCCAAGCGTATCGACGACGTCTTGTGCCGGGTGGACAGCCTGGTCAGCCCCATGGAGACCCTGACCTTCGATCCCTTCAGCATCAAGTCCTCCCAGTACTGGAAATATGTCATGGACGACTTCAAGATCGAAGTTCTGGCGAGTAGCACCCCCAGAGTGGCTCCATGTGGGAAGTGGGCCCTGTGTCCCCCTCCTGGGTTAAATTGGTTGGGTTATGTAGTTTTGGGGGACACAAACCAGAGACGTATTATCTGCTTATTTGTTTTAAAAAAATACAAAGCAAAAACAAAATGGGAAGCAATTCCCCAAATGGAGTCACTTTTGTTGCCACAGTGGCATTTGTGAAACAGTGGTTCCCACCACATGTGCCGCCTACCTCTGTTGTTAGGGACCTTCGGGTTGACTCTGACCCATCATGACACTGTGCACAGCAGAAGGACACATTGTCCAGTCCTGCACCATCCTCACAGCTGTTCCTACGCTTGAGCCTGTTGTGGCCGCATCTCAGTCCATCTCCCTGAGGGTCTTCCTGGTTTTCACTCCCCTCGATGTTCCCAAGCACGATGCCCTTCTCCAGCGTCTGGTCTTTCCTGACAATATGACCCAAATATGTAAGACAGAGCCTTGCCTTCCTTGCCTCAAAGGAGCGCTCTGGCCTTCCTTCTGAGACAGATCTGTTCGTCCTGTTGGCAGTCCGCGGCACGCTCAGCATGCTTCTCCAGCACCAATTCAAACACATCGATTCTTCTTCTGCTGCCTTCCTGATTCGGTGTCCAGCTCTCACATGCATACGAGGCAATTGAAAATACCATGGTTTGGATCAGTCGCACCTTAATCCTCAGAGTAATCTCCCTGATTTGCAACACTCTAAAGAGGTTTTGTGCAGCAGATTTGCCCAGTGCAATGCATTGTGTGATCTCCCGACTGCTGCTCCCATGAGTACCGATTGTGCACTGATTGTGGATCCAAGCAAGACGAAAATCCTTGACAACTTGACAACCTATCTCTGAGTTCAAGTGTAAGAAATGAACGTGATGGAAGCATCAGACAGAGCTTATCGGGTAGAGAAGGGTATTGACCTCATGTAGGGGCTGGGGTGGCGCGGAATTGACCAATTGGAAGCAGCCTTTGGACTTGGGAAATGTTTAGGCTGATGGAGATGGGAGGGAGGGGGGAGCCGGGAGCAGGAAGTGGATCTCAGGTGGTGGGAACATCAGCGGTGGGGGGCAAGAAGGGCAGAAAGAACAGGCTGGGGCGGAGGAAGAGCCCAGGGAGCAGACTGGAAACTGGATGACGGTGGCTGTGTGGTACCTTCTTTAGGTGGGGAATCCAGCTTGTAGCGACCTGTGTGTCAGGGTAGACTGGCCCCATAGGCTTTTCTTGTCTGTAATCTCTTTTCAAAAACTTATTAATGTGAGCTCACTGAAAGTTTACAGAGCACATTGGTTTTCCACCAAGGACTTCATACACCTTTTTGTTTAGTGACCTTGATCGCAAGCCGCACAATGCGATAGCACCCTTCCCACTTCCTCCCTGTGTGCCGATTCCTTAGTGCCTTCTGAGCTTTGTCCCAGGGCAACTGCTGCCCGCTTGGTCTGGTTGGTAGGTTCAAGGACCCAAGTTCTCCCTGGTGCTGTTGCCCACCTCATCGGCCTATCGTCTGACTGCAAGTTGAGCCACAGCTGTGGAGCCAGTAGGTGGTTTGAACCGCCACCCTTTCAGTTAGCAGCTAAGTGCTTCCGCATAGCTCCACTAGGCTCCTTGAGTCGGCAGTAGGGGGAAGTAAAGCGAACGAACAGAGTGGTATGTATCTTACAAAGGGCTTTGAGGGCCAAGGTACAGAATGGGGCTTTATTTAGTATGTAGTTGCCATGAGAGTCGACATCAACTCGAGGGCGTGAGTTTGGGTTTTTGGAAGCAGCCACTGAGAGGAGCCCTAGTGGTGTGCTGGCGACTCATTGGGCTGCTAACTGCAAGGTCAACAGTTTGAAGCCATCAGCTGCTCCTCCGGGGGAAGATGAGGCTTACTCCCGGGAAGAGTTACGGTCTTGGAAACCCACACGTGGACAGTTCTACCCTGACTTATAAGGTAACTGCGTCGTTGTGTTAGTCCCGGTAGACTAGAGAAACAAATCCATAGGCACTCCTATGAGTATAAGAAAGAGCCTTATATCAAGGAGCAATTGTATATTGAGAATACACCCCAGCCCTACCCAGATCAAGTCCATAAGTCCTATTTTAGCCCATTTGTCTGATACCAGTCTATAGATTCCCCTTCAGACTCACGCAGCACCTGCAATGACACTGAATGCAGGGGGGTCACAGGCCAGCGGCTGGGGGGTCTTGTGGGGTCGTCATCAGCGCAATGGCAGTGAGTCTGATTTGGGTTTTGAGGGAGCCGATGAAGGTGGTTAACTAAGTGGGTGAGTTGACGTAAACGACTGTTCTCGGAGACTTTCCAAGAGAAGCTATGGTTATGAGAATTAAGTTCCCCTCTATACAGTGTGGATGGGGCCTGCCATGCAGATGTGGGAAAACTGTCAGTAAAACCCACTGCTGTCCAGTTGACTCCCAGGGACCCTGCCAGATGGAGGAGAACCGCTCCATGGGGTTTCCGAGGCTGTTCATCTGTACGGAAGCAGACTGACACATAGCTGCCCCGAGGAACGCTGGTAGGCGCAGACCACCAAGCTGGTGAGCTCAGACCCCGTGCTTAACTCATGGTGCTGCTATGGGGTCGCAGCCCCACTATGTGTCTAAGAACACGGTTTGTGTCGGCCCATAGTGCCTTTTTATAGGGAAAACCACAGAGTTCTCTTTGCTTATTTTAGTTTTCTTAGCGCTGCCGTAACAGACATAGTTATTTTCTCAGAACTTTGAGGCCAGAGGTCTGCATTCAGGACTCTAACTCTAGGGAGTGCTCACCGTTGGCTCTGGGGGAGACGACTTCTCTGGCCCGCGGTCTCTGGTGTTCCTGATTATAGAGGATGCTCCACTGCCTCCTCAGTCCTCTCCAGAGTCGTGTCCTCCCCACCACCCTCAGTGTTGGGCATCTGTGCTCCGTCTGCGCTTTCTTGTCTCAGATGCGATGGGCTCAAGACAACGCCACCCCCGCAGGGCCTGGTGAATGTAGCAGAGAAAGTGACACCCCCAACTGTGATCACACCCAAGAGATGGGGGTTTCGATTCAAAAAGTACATAGAATGTGTGGCTGTTACGCAATTTCATGTCAACTTGATAAAAGAATGAAGGGGTGGCATCTAGCCTGCCAGTCGGGTCACGGCCTGATGATCCCTCTTTGGGGCGTGGTCTTCTCATGAGGATTCTGGGAACTCCCTCTCTCGATTCTGCCATCGGAGGAGGCGGGCTGCTTTCGCTCTCTCTTTCACATTCCTGTTGGCAAACCACATGGAGCAGATGGAGATGCTTCCACCACTACTGGATCCACAAGACTTTCCCCCCACCGGCCTGTGATCTTCCTGCATTCGGCATCATTGCATGTGTTGTGTGAGTCTAAAGAGGAATTTATGGGCTATTATCAGATATATGGGCTAGTATCAGACTAATGGACTTGATCTGGACTGGGCTGGGAGGTTTCCTCAATATACAATTACTCTTTGATATAAACCTCTTTCTTATACACATAAGAGTGTCTCGATTTGTTTCTCTAGTCAACCTGGATTAACACAGAATGGAAGGATAATGAGATTCTACCACAAACTTTTTGAAGCTTGCTTGTGTTATTGGGGGACAGAATTAAATTCCTAACAGTTACACACACACACATTACAGGATCCCTGGTGGCGTAGTGGTTATGCTTCAAGCTGCTAACTGCGAAGCCAGCAGTTTGAAACCACCAGCTTCTCCTTGGGAGAAAGAGGAGGCTTTCTAATCCCATAAATCCTTATTATAGTCTTGGGAACCCCCAGGGCAGTTCAACTCTGTCCTGTAAGTTCTCTGTGAGGTGGAATCGACTCGAGGGCAGTGAGATTTTTATACACACATCATGATCTTAGCTTATTCTCAGCTTCTGTTTAGTCTAGTGTTACTATTTTTAAATCTAAATCTTCATCAAAGCAATTTTTTCAAGCAAAAGAGTTTATAATACAAACAAAAAACACAATCTTATGTGTAACTCTTTCTACCTCATTCCCGTGGCCAGTCATCATGATTCTAGACATTTCTTTTGTCATTTGCTCCTATATTTCCTGAAGGACATGCCGGTGTGGTTGTATTTGATCAATTAATTTTGCCCAGAGGAGGTAACCCTCTCACTCCTACCCAATCCATATTCCTTTTGCTCTCTGCCACCTGGCAGGGTCTTATCATAAGCATTTGGTGAAGTCAGTGGACAGTGTCTACCCACGGTGTCCAGGTGACTGCTGTGCATCCCAGTGTGCTAAGCAGCCCATCAGAACTGTGTTTCCTTTCTGCCCAGCCCACCAGTCTCCCTTTTCTTTTGGAATGTCATTGTGTTTTGGATGGAAGTTTAAACAGCACATTGGTTCCCCATTCAACAATGTGTACACAAATCATCGCACCATGACAGTCATGTGTCAACACTCCCCCCACTTCCACCCCCAATTCCACCTCCGGTTTCCCTGCCTCTCCCAGCTTCTCATCGTTGCTTTTGGACAAATGCTGTCTGTTTGGACTCTTATAGTTGATTGTTCTCAGGCATACATTTCTTAGGAGTATTACTTATTTGACACGTCAGTCTATTATTTGGCTGAAATATAATCCCCGCTCCCCGCCCTTCTTCTTCTTCATTTGCCTGGTGACTTATATACAGACTTGTTGGTGTCCATTAGGTTTAGGCAGTGGTCCACGACAGTGCACTTAAACCCAATGAAAACTATCCAAGAAGTGGGCGCGATCGCGCTTTGTCGTGATATAAAATTTAGTGGAGAGACAGACAGCTCTGTCGTAGAAGCTCCGTGTGACATGGTGTTTCACAAAGATCATTTACAGATAAGTGGGCCCGCTCAGTTCACTCCTGTGTTGCTCATGGCCCCACTGAACCCCACAGCCATTAATTTCCTGGTGGCCCTTCTCCCGGGAGGGTTAACAAGATTTCTGCATAATGTTACATGACTATTCTCCTGCTTCCAAGAAACCCTGAGCTGTCTGTCCTCTGCTGTTGTCTCTGCCCCGCCTTTCCTTTGCTCATGTTAGTTAATTTCTGGTAAAAAGATTCCATCTCTACCATTTTGGCCTCGTTGGGGGTGGGGTGGGAGGAGAAGAGGAAGCAAATGTGGTGGCTCATCTCCCATTTTCAGTTGGATGTCAGCTCCCATTAGACACAATATCAGGTACACCTCTCTTTCATATACGCAAACGTTGAATTGTATGATACATAAATTATGTATCGCTAAAAGTTAAAAATTAAATAATAACCATAAAGCACTTAGCATGATGACTCAAAAAAATAACTTTTTACAAGAATTAAAAACAACAACAACAACAGTAAAACCCACCCCAGACGCCCCTCGTTTTTCTTGCTCCACCTGGTTTGTCAGAACAGCGGCTTCAGCATCAGGCCTGTATTCCCGACTTAAACCAACCTTTGTCCTTCCTTTTTGTGGGAGAGCAGGTCATCGAGAAAGAAGCGAAAAGTTTCATTGACGAGTCTTTCAAGACACTGCGCTCCGCGGAAGCCGCCTTCGACATGCTTTTAAAATTTAAGCACATCCGCTCCCGGGAGGCTATTAACCGACAGATGATGATGAAATTCAATGACATTCTCGACCAGTACTGCAAAGAGGTCAGGAGCCCTGGTGGCCGTCCTAGCGAGGGAGACGCATGGGGGGGCTGGTAAACAACAAATCTAGCTCCTATTCCTCTTTCCCACCTAAATCCAGGGCTGCTCTGGAATTTCCTCAGACAGGTGCGTCATGGAATAAAAAACCCCTCCTTTCCATTGAGCCGATGTCGACCCCTAGTGAGTCTTTCTCCCTGCCAGTCTCCCTTGGGGCTTTCCAGCTGCGAGCCTGGTAAGCTCTGCCCCACGAGGGCGCCTGTGTCACAGGAGACAAAAACCCCGGAACTGACTGCCCTCAAGCCAATGCTGACGCATGGCAACCTTACAGGACAGGCTAGAACTGCCCCTGTGCATTTCTGAGACGGCATCTGTTTCTGGGAGTAGAAAGCCCCATCCTTCTCCCATGGAGCGACTGGTGGTTTTGAACTGCTGACCTTCTGGATTGCAGCCCAGTGCAGAACTGGGATCCTCCTGCCACTGCATACGGGCTGCCAAAGCTTGTCTCTTTCATGGTGTGCCTTGGTGAGAATTTACCAGTCGCAGCATTATGTCCTTCATCGTGATCAATCACTGCCTTCATGGTTGTGGTTACGACAGCTAACCACGTTGTTGGGAAGACCGTGACTCAGTGACCTCAGGCGACGGGAGAACTGCCTGGTGGAGCTTCGTAGGCTGGGGTCTTTTCCCCACCTTTTGGTTACCAGCCAACAGCTTAGCCATTGCCCCTCAAGGCTCCTGATTACTCTGCCAGCTCTACCCGAGTACCCAGATAAGCATATAGGCCTGGCCACAGGCCGGGTCTAGAATGGACTTTAGGATTTCTAATAATGTAGACAAATGTAGTGTCCATGGTCTCTGATTCTAAGGTAAAGTGGGGTATTAGGTGTTAAGCCAATGGGGGGAAAATGGCAAGCGTAAGAAAAAATAGCAAATCACGAGAGTCCTGAACCCCCCGTTTTGTATCCTGGAGTAGCTCTGAGCTGTCTCCTCCTCCAGTCGTGTGCATTCACACGAAGCCTTTCCTGTGTGGCTCACAGAGTGTGCCTGACCCCTTTCCAGATCGACATCGTCAACAGACTCTTCCTTCAGAACCTGGACAACCCGCCGCTGTACAAGAACCACCCCCCTGTGGCAGGCGCCATTTACTGGGAACGGTCGCTGTTCTACCGGATCAAGCACACCATCCTGAGGTTTCAGGAGGTTGAAGAGATCCTGGAAGGCGATCGAGGAAGAGAAGTAGGTGGCCTGGGCTGACACTGCCACCTCTCAGTTCCTAGGGCTGGGCCTCCCCGACATTTCCCGGGAGAGCTGATCCACCCATGCAGCCGCCAGTGGGAGAAGCAGTTCCATTTTACCTTCTTGCTGCCATTTAGAGGGTCTTACCTGGGTTGGCCATGTAGGATAGGCACTAGACTACTAACTACGTGGTTGGCGGTTCAAACCCAGCAGCCACTCCACAGGACAAAAAAACCTACGTAGCATTGCTATGAACAGGAAAAGGAGCCCTGGTGCTGTCAGGGGTTTCACGTGGGAAGTGATTCATGAACTAACTGCCAAGTCAGCGGTTCAAGACCACCCGGTGCTCCATGGGAGAGAGATGAGGCTGTCTGCTCCTGCCATGGTTACCAGCCTGGAAACCCACAGTGGCAGTCTGCCCTGTCCTGTAGGGTCACTGTGAGTTGGAACGACTCAACGGCAGCCAGTTTGGTTTCCTGGGCCCCTGATTCTGGGCTCACACTCAGAATGACCACATGGCATCTTTCAGTTTTTGGAAACTGTTGCTAACAGTACACACAGCCAAATAGGCACCAGTCCACCAGCCCGCGGCCTTGGTGACATTCTTTGGGTTGTACGCCGTTCCCACCCTTCTTTGCAGGGCCGTTCCTGCCCCCTCACAAGACCGCACTGCCAGACAGGTTCCTTGTCTGCCCCTGTGAGTTGCTGCTGCCTACGGATCCCATCGGGGTGAATCTTAAAAGAGCACAGTACTCAAGGCAGACCCTCTTCATTCAAGAGACCGACGTAGTGCTTGCTTTCCAGAGGTGTTGGGGAGACTTGGGGGCTTCAGGCTTCGACGATAATGTCAGGGTGAAGGCTTCAGAGGCTCACTCACCCAGCCCAGGGGTTCCATAGATACGGACTGGGACACAGCGTGCTAGTGCCTAGGACACCCACAGCACGTGTGACATCTTGGTACACACACATGTCAGTGTACGTGATGAGGGACGTAGACTTCTCTTTTTGCATGTGTGTGGTTCACCTTCAGCTCTCTTGTTGTCTTGTCTCATCACCTCCTTTCCCCACTTGTGGGTTCCTGTGCTGTCTAGCAGGGCTTGGTAGACTGTCCTGTAAAGGTCCAGGGAGTAAATAGTTGAGGTGTTGAGGTGCTACATTTCATGCCACAGAGGACCCTCACAGCTTCTTATTCTTGTATGTGTGTGTTTTAAGAACTATGGGTACTTACCACATTAGAAACTAGAACTGAGAAGTTTTCCAAGCACGTGACTTCTTAATTCCTTTGGAAATGCTACAGTTGCAGCAAGATACCATCAGTCGATACCACACGAGTGAGAGGGCCATGTCCCAATAAAACTTTATTAGTTATGGACCCTGACGTTTGTATTTACACTCAGTCTTGCACATGTCATAAACCATACCTGCTCTTTTGATTCCCTTCCCCATCCTCCACCCCAATCATTAAAAAATGTAAAAGCTCTTCTTAGCATCATAGGTACCAAACCTGACCCATGGACTGTGGTTTGCCAATGGGGGGAAGATGGCTCAGATCTTAAACCATCGCCTCTCACAACAGATCTCCCCAAATTCGTGTTTATATTTCAATGGTCCTGCGCAGAATCCTGTCCAAATTTCGTCTACGCCCTTTTCCAAAATGTGTTGAAAGGAGTACTTCAGAAGCAGAGATGATAAAGTGTTATTTCCAAGGACAGAGGGACCTTTGCTTGACTCCTGGACAGGTGAAACAGAAATATCTGGAGGTGGGGAAGAGAATGAAAGAGTACGAGGACCAGAAGTATGAGCAGTGGAAGGAGTTAACCGAGCAGACGCTGCCCACGCTGATGAAGAAGAGCCTGCTGACTAAGGTACAGCTCTCTGGACCCTTTACTGCCGTTGGCTGCCCGAGTCCTGGGGACCCCTGACTAGCAGAGCCCACTCCCTCGATCGGTTGCACGTCTGACCCTTGTGATCCACATGGTTTTCACCGACTGTTTCCTACGTTGACCCTCGGGCTTCCTCCTCCTCCATCTCAGTCTGGACGGTCCACTGAGAGCTCTTCAACATCACAGCAGCACCCCGACCCCCACGACAGACAGCTTGGGGGCCAGGAAATCGAACCTGGGTCTCCCGCCTGGAAGGCGAGAGTTCAGCTACAGAACCACCCGTGGCCCCTAGTCCCAGGTTAAGGTGGCCGTGGGAGATGATGGCGTCTCTCGTTTTCTGGAGGTTTGATTTTGTTAGCCCTCATTCATGAAGCGGATAGGTAGGTGGGAGCTTCCAAAAGTGGGTGGAAAAATTCTATTACTTTTTTTTTCCATTTCCCCCTGGACACTTGGAAGCCCCTTCCTGTTTCCAAAATCAAAGAGCAGAAAGGGCAGGGATCGGCTGGGGGGCTGAGGGGGAACAGCTTAATGCCGTGATTAGGAAGATGAGCAGGACGCCGGGAAGACCTCTCTCATCTTGGCCTAACGCTGAGCCTCAGTTTACCATTTACGAACATGACTTGGCTCAGACGACACAGGTGACGGATAGTTGGATCCCATGAAGCAGCTGATAAAATGTTTCACGTTATTCATGCACATACTTTCCGCTGTGCCTGGCACTTAGTTATCAATAGCAACGATCAACATTGTCATCATACAGAGGGACAACGTGGCCCTGACAGTTTCTGATGTCTGAAACGCTCAAGTCCGCCCCCCCATGAGTGAGACCTGTAGGAGGCTGGTCTGTCTGTATCCCTTCTGAAGGGACATCAGCCACCGAGCGATGGACCCCTCTCTGCCCTTGTTGAATCTGCTCAGACTGCCCCCCTTTGTCAGTGCTGGATTTTTACATGTGTGGTTGCCCAGTTTTCCAACGCCAGTGACCGAATCAAATTGTTTGAACGTTGAGTTTGCGCAGCGAAACACACGTTCCAGCTGGCCCAGCTCCTTGGTCCGAGAGGGCATCCAGGGCCCTGCTCATCCTTGTCTCCTCTGCTCCTAACCTGGCTCAGCAGAAAGGCCTGGCATTCCACTCCAGCAAGCCCTCTGGATCACGGTGCTGCTGTGACCCCCACAGGACCCCCATGAGTCAGGGTCCGTCTGGGGGGTTTTCACATGGCGCACCCTTACTAAACGTCTCTCCCACAGTCGGTTGCCGTCAATGAGGAGGGCACCACGTCTGAGCGGGGGACGATATTTGTCATCAACTTTTCACCGGTGCTCAGAGAGATCATCAACGAGACCAAGTACATGGAGCAGCTGGGCTTCGTGGTCCCCGAGTTGGCAAGGAATGTGGCTCTGCAGGAGGACAAGCTCCTCAGGTGACACGACTCTTCTCCCGAGCCAGCGGCAGCTTCTCAGGCCCTGGGTCTTTGCCAGTCTTAGACATCTGCCAGTCTGCAGATGAACCGTAAAAAACGGAGACGCAGATGATAAAAATAGATGCCGCCCCTGTACACGGGCACAGATCAGAGCTCGAAACACAGGGAGTCCAGGACAGACAACCCCACCACGACCAATACTGAGAGTATTGATACCCGGAGGGGAAGGGGAAGGTAAGGGGAGAAAGGGGGAATTGATCACAATGATCTACATAGAACCCCATTACCAGGGAGACAGACAACAGAAAAGTGGGCTAAGGGAGACAGCAGTCGGGGTAAGACATGAAAAAAAAATTATCAAGGCGCATGAGGATGGGAGGGTGGAAGAGGGGAGGAGAAATGAGCTGATACTGGAGACACAAGTAGAAAGAAAATGTTTTGAGAATGATGATGGCAACAAATGTACAAATGTGCTCAACACGATGTATGGATGTATGGATTGTGATAAGAGCTGTAAGAGTCCCCGATAAAATGATTAAAAAATAGATGCTAACCCATTAAAAAGGTATTGATATAGCCATTCACTAAACATAACAACAGTAAACCTATTACACATTAATATAAGTAGTGGGTTTTTTTACCCCTATGAAAAGAAGTGTACTTTCCAAAAGGTGGAAGGTAGTGAGGAGTGTTGCCTCGTTTAACTCGGGCAAATCTCTTGATCAAAGTTTTAACTGCTTAGTGGTCTTTCCTGACCCTGACCCATAATTCAGTAGTTCGAATCCATCCGCTGCTCCGTGGGGCAAAGGTGACATTCTCTGTTCCTGTCAACTAGGTAAAGCTACAGAGACAGTCACTGGATTCATGGCTCCTTGGGGTATGGCAGGGAAAGTCGGGTGGGGGTGGCGGGGTGGGGAGTTGGTAACAATGAGGACAAGAAAGGAGGAAATGCTGTGACCTGCTGTGGTGAGGATTGTACATCCCTTCTCAATAGGACGGAACGCTTGAATTATACGAGGTGTGAATACGTGCCAACAGAACCGTTTGTGTGCTCTTTCAAAGACAGACTGACAGCCTCGGGGCCCACAGGACCGTCCTGCTCTGAGCTCTTGGGTGGTTTAGGGTCGGAATGGCGGTGGCTGTTACGCTTTGAGCAGGTGGAGCTGTCCTCCCCTGGAGCCGACGGCTCTCGTGTAACCTGCAGGTACACAGACGGGATACAGCGCATGCTGGAGCACTACCACCGGCTCCTGGGAACGCTGAATGACGCCGAGTTCATGCTTCTCGACGACCATTCCCAGGAATTACTCCGTGTGTTCCGATCCGGATATAAGCGGTTGAACTGGAATTCCCTAGGTAATGTGATTCCCCGGGAAGCTAAAACAACCCTGCTAGATCGTTCCAGTCTGATTGTAGTGTGTGTGTGTGTGTGTGTGTGTGTGTGTGTGTGTGTTTCACAAATAACAGTTGAGGATCGGGAAGGTACACTTTGCGGAACTCAGAATTAGAATCAAGGCTTTAATGTGTTGGGTGGGGCGGCTGCCTGAATGTCTTAGCTGTCATACGTGACACTCGTACCACAAGCAGGCAGCTTGCACAGAAATGAACTCTCTGACTGGTTAGGAAGCTAGGAGCTTGGATTCAGGGGACCAAGCCCAAGGGTCAGGGTTTCTCTTGCTGTTGACTCTGGGGGAGGGGCTCTGGTCCTCGGTTCTTTGTCAGGCTTCAGTGGCATCTCTCCTCCCCACCTGTGCTGCGGCGTCCATGCCCAACAGGGAGAATGACCTCATTAACAAAGAAAGCTCACAGTTACAGGTGACCTCACTGCCACCCATTCTGATTCACAGCCACCCGGTAGGACAGGGTAGAACTGCCCTGTAGGTTTATGAAATTGTAAGTCTTTACAGGAGTAAACAGCTTCATCTTTCTCCCGCAGAACATCTGGTGGGTTTGAACTGCCGACCTGGTGGTCAGCAGCTCAATGCAAAATTCACTGTGCTACCAGAGCTCCTTATCCTTAGGCATAAAAATGACAAAAATCCAACCTCATTGCTATCGAGTTGATGGAACTCACAGCGACCCTACAAGATAGGGTAGAACGACCCTGGTGGGTTCCCAAGACTATAACTCCCTATGGGAGTAGAAAACCCTGTCTTTCTCCAGGATCCACAGGGATCAGTGCTAGGATTTGCAGCACAGATTCCTGGCAGGGGCATAGTTTAATCCATAATCGGGGTGAAGATAAAATGTGACCCACAACATCCTCCCCTGACCGTGAAGTGCCCTGTACTTTTTGGAGTGAACATTTTGATTTCTCTGAAATTGTAGGCTGGCCTGCAATTGTGAGAACCCCTGCAGAAGCCCCCGGGTGCCCTTTCCCAGTCCCCCCGAGGTGATTTCTTGAGTGATGAAGTCATTTCCCAGCCAGGAGAGTGCCACACAGTTCCATCCACCAGACAAGAATTTCCCATGACCTTTGCAGCTGCCCTCACCCTTACCCCTTTCGCCAAACCCAAACCAAACCCTTGGCCCACAAGTTGCTTCCAATTGATAGCTACTTTCCCCCATGGAGCGGAGGGTGGGCTTGAACCGCCAACCTTGTGCTAACTTTGCTGGTCCACAATGTCACGATTCCTGCTCCAGTAGTGTAACAAAGAAAGCTCATTCCCAAATACAGCCACGCAGGTGTGTGGTTACGTTGGAACCCTGGTGGGGTAGGAGGTTGAGCACTGCTGCTCACCTCAGTGTTGGCATCTCAGAGCCACGAGCTGCTCCTAGGGAGCTGTCTGCTTCAGAAAGGTGCTAACGTCTCAGATACTCCATTTAGGGTCGCTGAGTCCAGACTGATGTGATGGCAGGGGGTTTGTCTCCTTAGGATTTATGGCACGTATTACTGGGGGACACACAGGAGTGTGGATAGAGTTGAAAACCAGATGCCTGTCTTTTCCCTTCCTGTCTGCAGGGATTTCCGACTACATAGTTCGGTGCAAGCAGGCCATTGGGAAATTCGAGTCCCTCGTCCACCAGATCCACAAGAACTCGGATGACATCACGTCCAGGCTCACGCTGATAGAGTCCATCAACCTCTTCAAGTACCCGATACCTAAGAACCAGGAGGAGCTCCCAGGTAGGTCCCACCTCGGGCTCCTCTGAACCAGAGGAGCGAACAAGAGCCCTCTGTTATTTGGCAAATGAAACCACCTCCAACCACGTCAGTCGCTTACTTGGAAAGACCGTGGGTCTTGTCTTTTTATTGCTATGGCAGTGATAAGGAGTCTGGGTAGAGCAGTGGGCTAAGTGTTGGACTGCTAGCAGAAAGGCTGGCAGTTCTAACCCACCACCGGCTCCACAGGAGAAAGATGAGGCCGTCGGCTCCAGAAAAGACTTGCAGTCTTTGGATTTCTATGGAGTAGTTCGAGGGCGGGCCGGTGTATGGAGTCTGTTCCTGTCAAGAGGCTCAGTTGCAGCAGCTCACAGTCCTAGCCTGTCCTGTAAAGTCGAGAGGAGTCGGCACGGGCTCAGTGGCAGCGCGTTTGGTGTGGTGCACGGACTCGAGAGCAGTGGGTTTGGTTTGAGTTTCAACACTTTGATTCAATTAGAGTCTGCAACAGTCGGGGGTACTTTGGTCAACAACGTTGTCACATTAATGTGAATCGTGTTCATCGGCGCTCACGTCTACTCGTTCGAAGAAGATGCGGTAAGCAGTCTGAGACGAGTCCACCGGGAGTCCCGGGAGTCGCAAGCTGCCACCTGGGTTTTAGCGTGTGTCCTGAGTGAACTTCCTGTGTCACCATTTCTCAGTCACCCCAGAGGGGCCTCAGGAGAATGGCCTGGCGATCTCCTTCCACAAGAACAGCCAGGGAAAAGACCTATGGTTCTTCAGTTCTCTTCCAGTTTTTGAATCACATTTCATTGTGCTTGTGGAGAAAGTGGGCACCGTCTGTTGGGTCCCCATTTCACAGTCTCTCCACAGACTGTTCACTGACACCAGTTGTACTGTTTCAGAATATGTCGCCTTCTCCTTCATTCTGCCCGGCGGTGCTGTTCCTAGTGTTCTAGTTCCCCTGCCTGCTTACCCCTCTGTCCCTGCTTTAGAGCGATTATTGATCATGTTGAGCATGCGGTCTCTCGTAGATGTTTCTTTTTTATTTTAAAGGGGTCCATTATCACAGGTGATACTGTTTATTTGGCATGGCTGTTTTGTGACTTAGCTGAAGGGTGACCTCAGGTCATACAGAGGGTCCCAGGGTGAGAGTACTGGAGGTCAGTCCTTAGTCTGGCAGGTGATTCAAATCTGAGGTTCTCTTCCACATTCCCCCTATTCTATCAAGACCTATTTGTTGCAGCCCTGATCAGAATGGTTGATAGTGGTAGCCGGAGCCCTCTAGTTCTTCTGGCCCCAGGGTAGATGAGGCTGGGGTTCGTGTACACAATGAGTCCTGCAGACTCCTTTCTTCTCTGAGTTTGTGGTATCTTTCTCTCTCTTTCCTTCCAGATGAGTAGAGAGCAAGGGTTGGGTCTTAGATGGCTGCTCACAAGCTTTTATGACGCCAGACGCTACTCACCCTATTGGGATATAGAACAAGGGGGCTTTAAAGAGTTTATATAAAAACTCCACTACCGTTTAATTCCATTTTTCTTCCTCTCTTTTAAAAAAAGTCATTTTATTGGGGGCTTGTACAGCTCTGATCATCATCCATCCATCCATCCATCCATCCATCCATCCATTGTGTCAAGCACATTGATTCCCTTTTTCTAAGAGCTTTTTGAAACCCTCTTGTGTCACATCAGTACACTGAGTTGTCCTATGGGGCTACGGTGCTAAGCACTCACAATCAGAAAAGGAATCTTGTGAGGTGTTTGGTTACGCCTAAGAAATGCCCATAACTGTGTTCCCTAGGTGGTTTATCACACACGCGCACACACACGCATATGGATATGCATGCAGGTACACCTATACCTGTGTGTACACACACCCATAGATAGTTCTGTCTGAGCACACACATGCCACATTCATACCCATACATGTGTATGACCATGTACTTATCTGTGTAACCACACACATAAATTCTTTGAGTCCTCCCTTTTATCAAAAGTGTCCTTTCTCTTGTGCACTTCTTAGTGACATCACTTACCTTGTTCAGGCCGTGTGCAGTTGGTCCACACTCACTGCTACCTTTGCCATCACCAGAAAGGGCTTCCTCTTACCCTGGTGATCCCTGTCCTTCGTCACCACCAGTGAGTGAGTGTTGGTCTCTGTAACCATACCTACTCTTTTTGCTGCTGTGACTGACATTGCAATGAACACAGGTGTGCGCAGGTCTGTTCTCGTCTGTTCTTCGATGTCTGGGGTAGACACATGATGGATGAAGCGATGGGCTTTTCACAGCAAGGTCAGTAGTTCAGACGCAGACAAGGCTGCCTGCTCCTGTACAAGAGTTACAGTCTGGGAAACCCTAAGGAACAGCTTACTCTGTCCCAGAGGAAATGGCTCGATGACCGTGGGTTCAGGTACATTCCCAGGGGTGGGATTGCTGGATCATAAGGCATTTCTAGTCCAAGCTTTTTGAGAAAGCACCGTATTGCTTTCCAGAGTGGTGGTATCCCTTTGCCACTTTACAACCTCACCAGCAGTGGATAAGGCTTTTAAAAAATCTCTTCACATCCTTGCTAACATCTTTCTCTCTTTCCTTCCTTCCCTCCCTCCCTCTATCTCACTCTCTCCTTCCTGCCGTCCCTCCCACGCTCTCTGTCTCAGTGCTGACTTGCGGCACTGCTACAGAGAGGGGTCGCCTGAGTTGGAATGGAATGTAGCAACTGCTTCCTTGGTGTTCTGTGTACTGGTGTTGATTTCTTTTCCACTGTGGGTCAGGGTTAGCGGCTGTTGTTCTTGCATCTGAAAGCTGTCCAGCTAATTTCTGGACTTGAAAAAGCTTGACTTCCGAGCTGTTTTAGAGCCACTTCAGGTTTTCAGGGGCTTGTACGGAAAACGTGGCATGCTCCCACGGACCCGGTACCCACACCTGCTGCGTTCCCTTTCACGACCTGTGCTCATCTTTAGGGACTCGGTGCGTTGATGAGCCAGTGTGATAGGTTATTAAGAATGAAAGGGCACAGTTTATGCCAGAGTTTACTCTCTGTGACATACAGGTCCTGGGCTTCCGCAGATACAGAATGCCACGTGTCCACCACTGCGGAGTCACAGAGTCTCTCACTGCCGACGAACCACCTCCAAGTCATGGTGACCTTGTAGGACAGAGTAGAACTGCCCCACAGCGTTTCCAAGGCTGTACATCTGCACAGAACTGGACTGCCTCATCTTTCTCCCTTGGGGTGGCTGGGCGGGTTGGACCCACTGGGCTATCCTTTTGTTACCCAATACTTAACCCATGGCATCACCAGGGCGCCCAGGAGAGTGGAATCACTCTGCTGCCTTAAAGATGCTCTGAACTTTGAGCCGCTATCCTCTCTCAAGCGGCTCTAGCAGGTGTCTCCCTCCACAGGCGTGAAAGAATTCTTTGAGCATATTGAGCGAGAGAGGACCAAAGATCTGGACCACATGGTCAGGTGGTACCTTGCCATTGGGCCTCTGCTCACCAAAGCAGAGGGTCTGGTCATCCACACCAACACGGGCAAGTCCCCCAAGTTGGCCTCCTACTACAAATACTGGGAAGGGAAAATTTACGAAGTCCTGACAAAGCTCATAATAAAGTAAGTCTATCTTCCTGTTGATTGTTTGAGGGGTAGTGGGCATGCATTGAGATAGTTTATGTATATGGGGCTGGGGATCGGGCCACAGCTCAGAATGACAATCAGCTGGGCAGGAAGCTTACTGCCCTCCTCCCTTCAGCTGTCGGAAAGACGTGTGCGTCAGTGATCTGCGAACAACGGGACGTTGTCGTCACTCTTTATAAACATCCTCACAACAAGGAGGTGATGCCAGGGCCTTACGTGGAGAGCAAATGTTTTGAGAACGATGAGGGCAGTGAATGTACAAATGTACTTTACACAATTGACGTATGTGTGGCTTGTGATAAGAGTTGTAGGAGCTCCTAATAAAATGATTAAAAAAAATGAAAGCAACGCTACGCTAAAGGGAGAAAATGTTGACGCTGGCAGGGGTTTTCCGCTTTGGGTCAGGCTTACAGGCTATTTTTGCATTTGAAATACATTCTTATCAAGATCGTTAGGGCCCAAAGACCAGGTCATGATGTGAAACCGGAGGATGATCATGTCAGATCACAAAATAGAGGATGATGACACCATTACATACCTGCCACATCCCATCATTACATAACTGGCAAGTCACAACATTCCATGACTCCCATGGGACACCATGACATACCCGGCAACTTCCTGAGCATCCTGGCCTCGACGAGTTGACACATAACCCTAACTCTCACAGCATCCTTGCTCTAGCTTTGAGCTTTGACTTTGCTAATGCCAGATGTACGTGTCAGTGTTGGATAGTAGATGTCTCACTATTGTCATAAATGCGAAATCTCTCCTGATCACAAAGTGGCTATAAGTGCGGAGGGGTGTGCTTGGATCCACAGTCCACACCCAGGGAAGCAGCAGTCAAGAAATCAAGTGATGCACTGCGTGGAGCGAATATGCCGCAAAGGGCCTCTTTAAAGTACTCAAAAGCACAACTGTCCCTTTGGCGGGAGGAGCTCTTGGGGGAGCGGAGAACCAGTGTGAAGACCCTGAGCTGGGCCTGGGCCCATGGGAGGAACAGAGAGAAGGGGTCCTGCAGGAGACGGAGGGGCCACTGGAGAGGCAGGCAAGAGCTTGATCACAAGGCTGGGGTGCCGAGTGAGGTCAGTTGGAGAGAAAGACATGGATTACATGTTTAGACCACCCCGGACTGCAGTGTCAGTAGTGGAGCCGGGTGGGGAGGGAGACAACCAGGGAGCCTGGCATCAGAGTGTCTGGCACCACCTGATCCTGGAAGGGATAGAGGGAGGGTGGAGGTGGGGTGGGGCAAGGACACAAGTATCCATGTTCCTCCAACCAGAACGGAATGATTTTTAGAAGTCATCCTTATTATCTCGTTACCTTCCAACCGGTGGGTACTCAATTTCCCCAAAGTAGAAATGAAATTTGAAAAAAAAAATCCTCCTTTTGTCATCCCAAGTGAGGTAGTTAGTTTATTGTGACAACTTGGCTGATAAATACATGTGGGGTTAATTATAGGGCAGAGGGATAAATGGCTCAGTGAGCTTCACCTTTAGAGTTCTTGGGTCTCTTGCTTTCTGATGGTTGGAGCAGGGTGCAGCTGCCTTAGCCAGGTCCCTGCTTCAGCTGGCAAGGCTCACTTCCTGAAAGACATCCCCAAGGAGAAGCCACATGGACCTACCCCGATGCAGCCCTGGGTGCTGGAGCGCCCGTGTGGAGACCCCTGCCAGCGCTGAGATGTTTACACGTTCACTGATTCGGCTTTCCTCCTGCAGTCGGCATCATTGCGTGTGTCTTGTGAGATGGAGGAGAACTTTGTGGATCGGTGTCGGACATATGGGTTAATGTTGGACTTGAGGGCTTGGGCAGCACTGGGTTGGGATGTTTTCTTGATGCGCACTTAACCTTTATATAAAACTCTCTCTTACACATATGAGTTTCTGTGGATTTGTTTCTCTAAAGTACCCAGACTAACATCCCAAGGGAGCCCTGGTGGCGTACTGATGACATGTTGAGCTGCTAGCCCCAAGGTCAGCAGTCCAAGACCGTCAGCCGCTGCGCAGGAGAAAGAGGGGGCTTCCTCCTCCTGTCAAGTTACAGTTTTGGACCCACACAGCGTGTGCTTCTAGCCTGCCCTCTAGGGACCCTTTGAGTCTGAATGAACTCAGTGACAGTGATTTGCCTCCTCCTGGTAACCATCCAAAGATATTTCTTTTTTGTGTGAAAACCTTTCCTTGACTTTTTCCAATCATCTCATATAGGAGGTGCCCTGTTGGGATGGACTCATTCCATTCAGCATCATGTCCTACAGGCTCCTGCTTGTCAGGAAGTGGGTGGTTGGGTCAGCTGTATTTGACCCTGTATAGTAGCCCATCGTGTGAGCAGGGGCCGGAATTTGCTAATCCGTTCCTCTGCTGCCGGACACGTAGGTGGTTCCCCTCGTTTCGTCGTTGTGTGTACGGTGGTGGTGAACACAGGTGGGAAGAGGCATGTGAGACCAAAAACCTGATGTAGTGAAAGTTGCCACACATGGTTCATGGCAAGTCTGTAAAGTGCTCCTCCGCATGGTAGGCCTTCCAGATGCCTCCGGTGAATCCCATGACCCGTGTGGTACTGATCCACGCCCCGGGCGTGCACTGAGTCTTTTATTTCCGCCTCTCCTAGGAATCTGCAGTCTTTCAATGCTCTAATCCTGGGGACTGTCCCCTTGTTCCAAACGGAAACCATCCTGAGTGCTCCCGAGATCATCCTCCATCCCAATGCCAATGAGATCGACAAGCTATGCGTCAATTGTGCCAGAAACTGTGTGGAGGTCACCAAGGTAGGCGCCCCACAGGTGTCTTCACACAGGAAGACGAAGCATTCGCTTTGGCCAAGGAAGTGGGATGGACGGTCCATCAAATTTGGTGGCTGTCATCGTCGTTGTTGTTGTTGCTGCCCCCACTCATAGGGACACAGTGCACGGCAGAAGCGAACACTGCCTGGTCCAGAGCCGTCCTCACGGTCATTCAGTCTGAGCCCATTGCTGCAGCCGCGGTGCCGGTCCCTCTCCCTGACGCCACCAAGCGTGATGCCCTTCTCCAGGGACTGGTATTTCCTGATAACATGCCCAACGTGTTATCAGATATCACATATAAGTACTAATCACACTATTTCACTTAAGCTTAACTCTACCCCAACCCCTCCATCCCTCCCCACCCCCCACTCCCTGTGAGGTAGAGTTGAGGATTTGGGTGACACTTGATATGATTTTATCTTCTTAAGTGTCTTCTTTCAAGTTAAAAGGATGTTCAGCTTTCTTCTTGGGGCATCCTCAGAATGTACATTAGGGGAAAAAATCCCTGCAGATGAACATTGATGACTAGGTAACTTAAAACAGGTTAACCGGGACATCTTCATCTCCAGGGTTGATCGTTCCTGGCTGAGAAACAGTGAGCAAATGTTGGAAACCAGCCTCATGATTGCTCTCACCTGTAACACGGACACGAGGGCATTACTCACCTGCTCGAGTTTTTATGAGGATTAAATGATCTAAGGCAGGCAGAGGACCTAGCACAATGCTGGCATTTAGTACCTCTCACGAAATGTCAGCTATCGCTGTTGGCAAATATTTCCCACTAATGAAGAGATAGACACACGATAAGTGCGCTCCATCACAGGTGGAAAAGACCAGGAAGGCCCATCACGTTCCGGCTCTCACAGGTTTCACTGTATTAGTTCACCCGTATTATTGATAGACGTAGTCGTTATTGTTAGCCCCATTTACTGATGGCACAGTCATAGTTTAGAGAGGTTATGTGTGACTCGTCTGATGCTTTCCCAGTACGAATCATGAGGGATTAAATTAAGGGGAGTCTTGACCGTGTAGCAGGGTGGTGTGTTGAGTTAGCAGATTGCCTGGGACATTGGGCAAGGAGGGACACAAATGTCTGACCCACCCATATTATAGGAAGTGGGTGGCTATTGCTGTATGGGTTAGCTCTTATCACACCCTGAGCTGCTGCCAATCTTTGTGGTTACATGGCCCTGTGGGCTGAGCTCTGCCATTTGGTTCTTCTGGACTGGGCTGGGCCCATTCTTGCGTCGTGGTCAGCTCGCACTTGCTGACTTCAACTGCGGGTCTGGTGGCTGGGTAGTCATTGGCTGGGACACCTCAAGTGTCCTTTGTACGGCTCATCTCCAGCCAGTCAGATAGCTCAGTCATGTGGTGGCGGCAGTTTCAAGAATGCGGGCCTGAAAGCCGAAGGGTCTAGGAAGCCCCTGCACAGGACCCCTTCTTGTGGTTCAAGTGTGGTGGCCCACAATGGCCAACTCGGGTAGGAAAGTAGAGCCTGCCGCCTGCTGGAAAGCCCTACAAAGTACTGTGGTATTTTTTACCCTCTAACACGCTTATTGATAATAAAGTGACTTTCCATTTTCTAGTAAGATATACGGCGAAATGCTAGCTTATACACAGGAGGAAAAACAGGCGTTGAACTAAAGTGCGGTGTTCCCCTGGGTTCCTGTTTTGCCAGCATTTCGTTCGGTGGATGGATGGCAGCTGTATCGAATGCCCTCCTCAGAAAGGAGAAGAGGAGGAACTGGTGGTAATAAGCTTCTTCAGCGATATCTCTCTGAACCCCCAGATCATCGACCAAGCTGTTATGATCCCCCAAAATATCCACAGAATTCTCATCAATCTCATGAAGTATCTGCAAAAATGGAAGCGCTACCGGCCCCTCTGGAAACTGGACAAAGCCATCGTGATGGAGAAATTTGCCGCCAGGAAGCCGCCCTGTGCAGCTTACGACGAGAAGCTGCAGTTCTATTCCAAGATTGCCTCCGAGGTCATGCGGCACCCGCTGGTGAAGGACGAGCACTGCATCCGGCTCCAGCTGGGGCTCCTGGCGCAGACCGTGCAGGAGAACGCCAAGTCCTGGGTGGTTTCTCTGGGGAAGCTTCTCAGCGAGTCAGCGAGGGAGGACCTCCACAGCCTTCATGAGGAGATCGAGGTATGGACCAACCGATGGGTTTCTCAAGCCGGCTCGGTCGGTCTTCTTAGGGTTGTGCCTGAACGTTGACCCAGTACCGTTTATACTCGAGTATAAGCCCACCCGAATATCAGCCACAAAAAACGCATTAAAAATGTGCTGAAACGCTTGCCTCCTACCGAGTGTATACGGTACCTCTTGAACTTTCTTTTCTAGTCCTTGACCAAAAACCTGAAGAAGAGCCCCAGCACCCTGGAGGATCTCAAGTTTGTCCTGGCCACCATTGCGGAGATTAGAGGCAAATCTTTAGTCATGGAGCTAAGGTACAAGGACATCCAGGAGCGCTACCGAACGCTGGCCATGTATGACATCACTGTAAGTGAACCGCTCTTGCCTTCTCCTTTTCTTTTTAAAAAATCATGTTATTGGGGGCTTGTTCAGCTCTCATCACCATCCATCCATCCATCCATCCATCCATCCATCCTTCCTTCCACCATTGTGTCAAGCATATTTGTACATTCGTTGCCATCATCATTCTCAAAACATTTGTTTTCTGCTTGAGCCCTTAGTATCAGCTCCTCATTTTTTCCCCTCCCTCCCCACTCCCCCTTCCCTCATGAGCCTTTGATAATTTATAAATTATTATTATTTTGTCATATCTTAGACTGTCACCCACTTTTCTGCTGTCCATCCCCTAGGGAGGAGGTTCTATGTAGATCCTTGTAATCAGTTCCCCCTCTTCTTCTTCTTCTTCTTTTTGTAATCATGTTATTGGGGCTCGTACAGCTCTGATCACCATCCATCCATCCATCCACTGTGTCGAGCACATTTGCACATCTGCTGCCATCATCATCCTCAAAACACGGTCTTTCTACTCCAGCTCCCAAAATCAGCTCCTCATTTCCCCCTCCCTCGCTCGTGAACCCTGAGCTCTCTTCTCACGCATTTTTCAGTTGAGCTGACTGCCCCATGGGTGCTAGGCCTGGTTGGGTTGACTCTGATCACCTAGCAGGACAGAACGTAGCCCAAACCTGTGCCCATGGGCGGATTGACCATCAAGCCTGGTATATATACACACTGGCTCATGGTAAGCATGGTACACCCGGGGCTTAACTCTGCTTCCTGACTAACTGTGTCCTACCAGCTCGTCGGCAAGCACAGTCAAGCCGTGCTTATCTTGCTTATTGGTTATTCCATCCCTACTATGTCAACTCCAGGACCTGCTGGGCTCTAGCCTCCTGTGTCCGCCCATCTCATCAAGGGTTTCCCCGTGTTTGCTGACCTTCACCCTTTACCAACCCCGGTGACCCCCCTCCCTGCCCGTTTCAGTTGAATATGAGGATCCGTTTCAGAGGTAATTTTCAAATGACACTGCCATCAATTTCTAACTCAGTGACTTTATAAACAAATTTCGTAGCGTTTTCTAGAGTTGCGCCCACTCTGCGGTCCTTTTCTGGTTTCCTGTGGCTCAGGTGGCAGTGTTGGTCCACTGGCTTCATTTCTCCCCGTCCCCTTCTGTTCTTGTTGTGGGGGAGTTTCATTTAATAAGTAGGAGCTTGTGCAGTAGTAATAATGAGATGTGAGGTGGTAAAAGCAACCAGAAGAAGATAGTGATCACTCCACCTTCCCTTGGGGTAAGCAGTACAAACAGCTTGTGCTTTACTACTAGCCTTTAGGTTGCTGGTTCAAACTCAGCCCAGGGATAGAAAGACGCTGGTCATCTACTTTCTTGAGTCAAGGAAACCCTATGGTGGAGCTTCCTTCTACCCTGTAACCCAGGCGTTGCCTGGGGTCAGACTCCACTCGCCGGCAATGGGTTTGTTTTCTTTCTGGAGGGGGAACTGATCTCCCTGAAGTTGTGTGGGGAATCTTGCAGACTGCTTTGCGCTGGCCTGGGTTGCTGCTCAGCTGGAGTTGGGAAGCCTTTGGCCAGAGGATGGCGCTGACCACTCACATGCGAAGCAAA